GTGAGTATCTAATCTTAATCTAGCTCTGTTTTCTTAATTTTTAAAAATTTGCCAATATGTGGTTACTTACAGAAAAGATCTTTTCAGCTATATGCTGCTTGACCTGAAGTTCTATGTCTGAAAAACAAGAAGTGAAATGAGATTGCAGTTAGCTGACTGTTACATAGTGTGGTAGCCTTATTTATAGTACTTAGTTATTGTAGCTTATGTAAAAAGGAAAAGAAATATTTTAAATCTGTAGTCTAGACTTCAAGCATTGAGTTTACAATAACCTCATCACATGATTTTACTCTTTGAAACAGTTTCCTCCCAAAAAGTTTTAGGTATGTTTTTATGTTCAGGAGTTATTTAATAAACGAGGTAACCCTCTGTTAAAATGCTTGAATTCCCTCCATCATGACAGCTTCATGCAAATAGTATACTGCTGTTTTTGGAAAAAATAAGAATATTTCAATATTTTCAAAATATAAAGAAAATCTATGGGTGTAAATTTAAACAGGTGTGTGTATATTTGTGACCAGCAAAAAATGGAACAAATTAACTCTGAACGGTTCAGAGAATTGTTATAGAATTACTGAAACTTCAGGGTAGGACAATAAATACAGGAAAATTTGAACTAGTTTTGTACATTAGTAAAAGAATTAAAAACATATTTATATTAATGTTTGGGTGGTAATTGTGCTGTTTAGTTTTTAATAAAAAGGAAAATGAAAACCTGCATTTTATCATTAAATAGAAATCATATGACTTTATTAAAACCAGAGAAAAACTTATATTTGATGACTTGCTGCAATGAATATTTATTGTTGCATACATGTAATACTAAGTAGCCAGATAAAAATATTTTTGCTAATTATATTTGATGACATATTGTAATGATTATTTAATGTTGCATATTAGATGATTCTAAGCAGTCAGATAAAAATATTTTTGCTAAATAAACACTATGACTGCAATTTTGTGAACGATTCAATTTTTAAATTTCTTTTGGTCTGCTTCTTTATATTGTTCAGATTAAGCAACCATAGCTTATATTTTTAGTGCTTTATTTCACTGAGTGAAAATGTGTTATAATATATATCTGTTATACATATTTATCTGTATAAATAAATATAATAAAGGGTCTATTTTTAAGCTATTGTGGGCTGAGAGTAAGGTCATATGGTGATTACCTAAGATAGGTTTCTCTCTGTATATATACCTATCAACTCTGAAAAATGAAGTTGGAGCTAATAAAAGCCAGGCAACTGGCCCACGAAAGATTTAGTAAATTATTTGCTAACTATTGGTTAGTGTTTTATGAGAACTAGTGGTACTGGAGTTTGAACTCAGGGCCTCAAGCTTGCTAGGCAGGTGCTCTCCCCTTGAACCACTCCACCAGCCTGTTTTATAAGAATTGGTAGCTCCAAGAAAATGTTAAAGTTTTTGTTTTTCAGGCAGATGCATTGTTCATTAAGTTCTTGTTTCTCAGAGTGTGACACGTGGCCTTCTGGGGCAACAGTAAACAGAGCTCAAGTGTAGTTCAGAGAAGTTCATAGGGAAGAACTGGCAGGAGCTGTGGTGGTCCCTTGTGTTTGCGGGTAGGAGAGTTTTTATAAACTCTACCTTAACCAAACTTCTTCGGCCTAACAGTAACATGCCATTTCTTCCTCATCGTGACAATGATCAACTATCATTTCTACTGATGTTTGTTCTCTTTGTTTCATGACTGATTACATTATCCTTCCCTAACTGATAAGAACTGTTCACTTTTCCTAGTTCGAGAACATCATAGATAATTCTTCAGACTCTTTGGGGGTGATGGATTTATTTGGGAATTTTGTTTCAAAGGATCCCCATTGTGGGTCAAAAAATGAAATTGTTTAAAAACCTGATATCCTTTCATGGTACAAGGAATTTTACATAGAGCCACTGTAAACAAAAACTTATTAGGTAAAAATGTCTCACACATGCAATAGTATAACAAAAAGAATGTTCTATATTTTATAATGGTTACGGGTCACCAGAAACATGTTGATATAGTCTCATTAAATATAGTCTTACACTGATTAAGTTAAGGAGATTTGAATATAATTGTCTTACTTTTTAAATTAGTTTTTAATCACAATACTAGTCTATGAAATGAGTTGTCAACCAGTTTATATCATAAAATAAGGTATCTGATAAAATCATTGAGATGACAGTGTTTTAGAAAAGAGAAAATTAACCTTGAGTTTTTTTGTCTAGTCTTACCCTGACAGTTACATGTTTTCTTTTTTCCTTCATTTTTTTGTTCTATTCACTTTAATTTCTAGGATAAACATTAAAAAATGATTTTAACTCATAAATTATTCACCGATAGCCTGTCCTTCACTTGTCAAATAAATTTGAAAAGAATCTTAATGAGGAGTACTGTAGTCCACAAGGCTTAACAGATTTCATTTCAAAACAACAAATCCTCTGAAGCCCCATGTTAAAAATACAGCACCATGTTTGATCATTTTTCATCAAGAATGTATGAGTCCCCGAGTAATCATTAATGGGAATATTTAATTGCTACAATTATATTGTGTAAGCTAGTTAGTCTAAGAAGGGGAACTTCCTAAACATTTCTGAGTCTTTTGATGAGTTTGCACTGGGGGTGCACTGGCAGCTCAGGTAAAGCAGTTAATGTAATAGTTTGATACTCTGCTATTGCCTGAGTGGAGGAGATCCAAATGAGAATGGATTCATTTTGATTCAGAGTTTCTTGCAATTAAAGGAGTTAGCCTGTCCTCAAATAAAACTTCATCAACCCATTTTTGTTGAACTTAGAATTTAAGAGAGAGATTGGCTAAACCTTACGTAAATCCCAACTATCTTTTATTTATTTATCCTTTCACTTACCAATAGTATTTACCTTTGCTAGGAAGTCTAGGCTGTAAAAATGAAAGTCAAGTTTTCCTTCACTGAGTTCTCAGTGGGGGAGAACTGATTGGCAGGCAATTAAATACAACACTGTAAACTACACTCAGGCTGTTGTATAGGTATAAGGGAACACAAAGGTTTCTTCCTGTTTTGAGAGGATATTCCTTTTATTTTCGCTTGACAAGAAAAATAACCATTCCAGTGGTCACCTGATCTTCCTCCTTGTGCTCAGAAGCATTTCTAAGGGAAGCAATGATTGTTATTGATTTTCAAATAAAATGTTCTCTTATCAGTAGTTCAAACATTCCCAAAACCAGAAATGGTAATTGAGTTACTCACAGGTTCCCAGTGTTTTACAGAAAGCAAGATAGGAATAGCACAGATGAAGACACCTCCCATCTAATTTTATCTGACTGTTTTGACTTTTTCACTTTTTTTTAAGAGGCAAGTTCACATAAACTAAGTCTACGAGCTTTTATTTCCCTTCTATTTCACACTTTCTCATGGAAGCAATGGTATAGTGAACAATAAAACTGAAGGAGAAAAAGAATTAAGGAACATTATTTCTAAACTATAGGATCAACCTTGAAGTATATGAACACATGTTCATGTTATTTGTGACCCTATTATAAAAGACCAGGATGACAAGGCTAACTGCAGTTAATTTCCTGACAGTGTTATCCTTGCTCTCAGAATGGGTACTTTGTTTTCTTTTTATTGACTGATTCATAAAAATTTAACGAGTTATCATCAATAAGGTTTGGGTCATAGCCTTATCACTACTTAAACAAGTGTGTGTGTGTTACTGGGGCTTCAACTCAGTTCAAATAGCATGAGCCTACTTGAGCTAAACCCCCAGCCTTTGCAAATTTTGTTTTTGAGACAGGGTGGTGCTAACTTTGCCAAAGCTGGCCTTGAACTCAAGATCTTCTTGCTTCCTCCCAAGTAGCAGAGATTACAGATGTGTACCACCACAGCCAGTTTAATTTTTTTTTGAGATGAGGTTTTCACCACGTTGCCCAAGCTGATCTCAAACTCGTGAGCTCAAGTGATACTACTGCCTCAGCCTCCCAAGATGTGCGCCAGTGTTTGACTCATAGTTTTTAAAAATTAAAAAAAAATACTTACACTTACATGTACCTGGCACCAAGTACTGTGCCAAACACTTTTATACATAACAGCTCATGAAATTTTTCCACTTGGAGGCTGGAGTCATGGAGTTCATGGCACAGCACATGCTTAGTACATATGAGAACCTGGGTTGGATCCCCTGCACCAAAAGAAAAGAAAAGAAAAGAAAAAATATGAACTCATTCATGGTATAGCATCATTCTTAACAGAGACTATTCTGAAAATCTTCAGGAAGAATTAAAACAGGATGGATAAGTTTACTTTGTCATCAGACTTTATAAATCAATTGCAGTTTTTAAATGGCTACAAACTAGATACGCTATATATTTTAGACAATATGTACTGGCCAAAAAACCCCCCAAAAAGTGCTGAAATTGGATGTCTTTCATTGCTTCTGAAGAACTGGCCCTGTCAGTCTATGATGTTGCTATGCCAACAACCATGATGGGATGCTTTCTAACTGCCTGTTTCATTGTTTATTTGGTATGGGGGGAGCAGATTGGGGGAGGTGGGGTAAGTTTTGCTAGCATACCTTTTTATAGAAAAAGATGCCTTTTTCTAAAACATCAATGTGGTGATGTAACTTCCCTCTACACTGCTCTATTTCTTTTCTCTTAGCTCCTATATCTTGTCACCTATGTAATTTACTTGTATATTATATATTTTGAAATTGTCTGATTTCTCCACAATTGATTGTAAACCTCATGAAAATGAGGTTTTCGTCTTCTTCATTGACATATCTCAAGCAGTCAGCACAGTAGCTGCTATTCAGAGAACACACAATGAGGATCTGTTGATTGAGCAAATTTTCTGAGTCATAATTAAGGAAATTAAAAAAAATCTTCTTGAAGAAAGGATTTATTTTTTTTTACTAATCTGTACAACCATTTTGTGATTTAGACCCCACCAAGTGTTACCCTTATATTTTCTTTTTTTAAAGTTATTATTATTATTATTTTTTATTGTGCTGGGATACATTGTGG